TATGGACTGTCCATTGGACCTAAAACGGACTTTTTATTAAACAAAAACTACTTTTATGTAAATATAATACAAAATACATCAAAAATTTTATTTTTTATGTAAAAATTACAAAAAAGACATCAATTAAATGAAGTTAGTATGAAAAAATAAACTAACAAAATAATTATTCATATTGATTGAATTTAACAAATATTCATAAAGAGTTACAATGTTACATTACAAATTGATTGATGGGTGAGACTATTTTGCATCACTACAAATTGAGTACATCTTAATTAGGTTCACACCTACACAATTGTCAATCATTTGCAAGTATCAACCTTATAAAAGTTACAGATCAAATATCAAATAAATAATACAACTATGAAATTAAGAGAAACTATATTTATCTTAAATTAAGGGGAAGTTGTCAACTCAATGGATATATTCTATTGGGCTAATAGGCGATCTCAAGGGCGGGCCAACAGGCTTCTTAACAGGTTGGCCCGCCAAGCCCCTGAACTTAAAAAAAAGGGCCCATGCCCTACCCACTTGACTAACAGACTACCCAAGCCCTGCCACTTGTACATGTCTTAGGTGGCCAATTGAGCTTTGGGCTTTTTGGTGAGGTCTAGCCAAAATGAAACTTGCACTAAAATTACCACTGGCATAGGTGGTAAAAAGGGATTCCATAGACAAGGTAGCATCATTTGTGCTCTCAAAATCTGCATAAGCTTGAGTTGAATCTCTTAGTAAAATGCAAATGCCAACAAACCCCTCAGCTCTTCATGCCCCATTCCCCAAAAAACCAATACAACCCACATAGATCACCCCAAAAACCAACACCACCACACACACAAACAAACACACATATGGCTTCAAAGTTCCTGGCCCAAACTAGCACGATGCATCACAGGTGAAAATCTGTGTAGTAATTTAAGCTTGCTCTCTTCTTAGCCTAAACTTGGATGATACCTTCATTGAAGTCTTCGTGATTCACCTAGAAACGACCAAGCCAATGTTTGTGTCAATGCTTGCTCTCTTGATAAGCATAAGATGCATGTACATTCTCATCGTGCATTGGTGTGGGTGTTTGTTGGTGTGAAAAATTATGGCATAGGATTCATAGTTGCCTAAAATTGAGATTTGAATAAAGTCCATCCGTGCTTAGAAACATTTTGGTAAAGGTAAATTATGTCGACATAATGATATTTGACAATACAAAATAGATTCCTCATGACATTTGAGAAAATGGCATGAGATCCCTAGTCAAAGTTTCAAGAAATGTGCATTGAATTACCATTATACCCCATAATTTGTTGATCCATAATATACCCCAAAAAAATGGAAGTAGCAGCATATTTGGAATTTAGAACATAAACTTTGCAATACAAAATCCAGAGGGTTCCTGTAGTATTTATCAATTGTCAAGGGCTCCATGCTTTGTCTGAACTTGAAGGGTGTCACCCTTCTTGTAAATATGTCAAGGTAAACTCTCATTTCCAACCACACAACACTAGGCTCCCCTCAAGTACCTAAAAGGACATTGGACTGCAATAGAACATATTCTCAAGTACTTAAAAAAGATAAGAAATTATATGTTGGTTTACCAGACAAATAGTCTAGTACCCCTTGGGTACACAGACTCTGATTTTCAGTCAGATAAAAATTCCTATGTTTACTCTAGGAGGTGGAGCCATAAGTTGGAGGAGCATCAAGCAATCTTATATTACTGATTCCACTGTGGAGGCTGAATACATGGCAACCTCTAAGGCAGCCAAAAAGAAAGTTTGGCTCAAAAACTTCCTTATGAATTTAGAAGTGATCCCTTCAGTAAGATTGGATATTAAACTTTATTGTGACAATAGCGGAGTTCCCTATGACTAGATTGTGCTTTTAATGGATGCACAATTCCCTATGACCAGAAATGGTTTGTTGTATCAGAATATTTCTACTTTTTAAATGCTACACAGTGTCCCTAAATGCACTCATGTATAAAAAGCATAGTAAAGCTTAATAACATATATGCAAAACTCAGTTGACAAGTCGGAGTTTAAATTAGGTACATTTTGTGTATATCATTATTCTTCTACCCTTACGTGGCAAACATTAGGCCTCGGCAACAGGACGGGTCGTGCCAACCCGGCCCGGGATTTTTCAATCCATAGCCTACCCGTGGATCTAGCCTCTGAGCTTTGACTAGTCAACAGACCGAAACGGGCTCACCTGTTATGAATTTTTAAGACCCATGGACAGGCCTATTGGGCCAAAAATAGCCTAAATACATGCTAGGCCTTATGGGCTACCCATAGGGCCTAAAATGAACTTTTTAATAAAAGAACTACTTTTTATGTATAAAATACAAAAAAAAGACATCAAAAAAATTATTTTTATGTAAAAATTACAAAAAGATATAAATTACATGAAGTTAGTATGAAAAAAGAAATTAACAATAAAATTATTCATATTGATTGAATTTAACAAATATTCATAAAGAGTAACAATGTTACATTACAAATTGATTGATGAGTGAGACTATTTTACATCACTTTAAATTGAGTACATCTCAATTAGGTTGACACCTACACAATTGTCAATCATTTGCATTTATTAACTTTATAAAATTTACAGATCAAATATCAAATAAATCATACAACTATGAAATTAAGGAAAACTATATTTATTTTAAATTAAGGGATAGTCCTTAAGGGGAGGGGAATCTATAATTTTTCAAAATTAACGGAAGTTGTTAGCACAATGGTTATATTCCAATGGATATATTCTATTGGGCTAATGGATGAGCTAACAGGTAGGGTAACAAACTTCTTAATTGGCCGGCCCGCCAGGCCCCTGCCATTTAAAAAAGGGGCTAAGCCCTACTAGCCAAGCTAGCGGGTTGCTCAAGCCCTACCACATGTACGGGTCATGGGTGGCCCATTGCGATTTGGGCTCTTTTGTGAGGCCTAGCCGAAATGAAACTTGCACTAAAATTACTAGTAACATAGGTGGTAAAAAGGGATTTCCACCGACAAGGTAGTATCATTTATGCTCTCAAAATCTGCATAAGCTGGAGTTTAATCTCATACTAAAATACAAATGCCAACAAACCCTTCAGCTCTTCATTCCTCCCCCCCCCCCTTCCAACCCAAAAAAATACAACCCACACAGATCACTCTAAAAACCAACAACACACACACACAAACAGACACCAGATGGCTTCAAAGTTCTTGGCCCAAACTTGCACGACTCATCACAAGTGAAAATCTGTGCGTAGTAATTTAAGCTTGCTCTCTTCTTAGCCTAAACTTGGATGATACCTTCATTGAAGTATTCGTGATTCACCTGGAAACGACCAAGCCAATGTTTGTGTCAATGCTTGCTCTCTTGATAAGCATAAGATGCATGTACATTCTCATCGTGCATTGGTGTGGGTGTTTGTTGGTGTGAAAAATTATGGCATAGGATTCATAGTTGCCAGAAATTTGAATAAAGTCCATCCGTGCTTAGAAACATTTTGGTAAAGGTAAATTATGTTGACACAATGATATTTGACAATACAAAATAGATTCCTTGTGAGATTTGAGAAAATGGCATGAGATCCCTTGTCAAAGTTTCGAGAAATGTGCATGGAATTACCATTATACCCCATAATTTTTTGATGCGTAATATACCCCAGAAAAATGGAAGTAGCAGCATATTTGGAATTTAGAGCATAAACTTCATAATACAAAATCTAGAGGGTTCCTGTAGTATTTTATCAATTGTCAAGGGCTCCATGCTTTGTCCAAACTTAAAGGTGTCACTCTTCTTGTAAATATGTCAAGGTAAACTCTCATTTCCAGCCACAGAGCACTAGGCTTCCCTCATGTACCTAAAAATGACATTGGACTATGATAAAATATATTCTCAAATACTTAAAAAGAGGAGAAATTATATATTGGTTTACCAGATAAATAGTCTTATACCCCTTGGGTACACAGACTCTGATTTTCAGTCAGATAAAAATTCCAAGAAATCTATCTCAAGATATATGTTTACTCTGAGAGGTGGAGCCATAAGTTGGAGGAGTATCAAGTAATCTTGTATTATTGATTCTACTATGGAGGCTGAATACATAACAGCCTCTGAAACAATCAAAGAAAACATTGTATGTTGTGTCAGGATATTTCTACTTTTTAAATGCTACACGATGTCCCTGAACGCACTCATGTGCAAAAAACATAGTAAAGCTTAATAACATATATGTGGAATTTAGTTATCGGGTCGGAGTTTAAATTAGGTATATTTTGTGTATATCATTATTCTTCTACCCTTGTGTGGCAAAAATTAGGCCTCGAAAATGGGATGAGCTAACCCAACCCGGCCCGAGATTTTTCAATCCACAACCTGCCCTTGGGTCTGGCCTCTGAGTTTTAACAAGTCAACGGACCTAAGCGAGCCCACTCATTAGGATTTCTTAAGGCCCATGGCCTGCCTGTTGATTAACCTTTTTGGGCCAAAAACGAACTAAAGACAAGCTGGGCTTTATGGACCGCCTATTAGGCCTAAAATAGATTTTTTTTTTAAAAAAAAAAATACTTGATTGAATTTAATAAAAAAATAAATTAACAAAAAAATTATTCATATTGATTGAATTTAATAAATATTTATAAAAAGTTACAATTTTACATTACAAATTGATTGATTGATGGGTGAAACTATTTTGCATCACTACAAATTGAGTACATCCCCATTAAGTTGACACCTACACAATTATCAATTATTTACAAATATCAACATTATAAAAATTACAGATCAAATTTCAAATAAATAATACAACTGCAAAATTAAGACTATTTATTTTAAATTAAGGGAAAGTCCCTAAAGGGCGAAAGAATCTATAATTTTCCAAAAATAATGGTCAACTCAATGATTATATTCCAATGGATATATTCTATTAGGCTAATGGACGAACTAACACGCAAGTTAACAAGCCAACTCGCCAGGCCCCCGCCTTTAAAAAAAAGGGTCCAAGCCCTACCCACCAAGCTAGAGGGCTATCCAAGCCCTACCATGTGTAGGGATCGTGAGCGACCCATTAGAATCTGGGCTCTTTGGTGAGGCCTAACCAAAATGAAACTTGCACTAAAATTACTAGTGACATAGGTGGTAAAAGGGATTTCCACCGACAAGGTAGTATCATTTGTGCTCTCAAAATCTGCATAAGATTGAGCTGAATCTCTTACAAAATACAAATGCCAACAAACCCCTCGGGTCTTCCCCCCACCCCCAAAAAAAAATATATATATACAGCCCACACGGATCACCCTAAAAACCTATAGCACCACACACACAAACAGACACGCAGATGGCTTCAAAGTTCCTGGCCCAAACTAGCACAACACATCACAGATAAAAATCTATGCGTAGTAATTTAAGCTTGCTCTCTTCTTAGCCTGAACTTGGATGATACCTTCATTGAAGTCTTCGTGATTCACCTGGAAACGACCAAGCCAATGTTTGTGTCAATTCTTGCTCTCTTGATAAGCATAAGATGCATGTACATTCTCGCCATGCATTGGTGTGGGTGTTTGTTGGTGTGAAAAATTATGGCATAGGATTCATAGTTGCCAGAAATTGAGCTTTGAATAATGTCCATCCTTGCTTGGAAACATTTTGGTAAGGGTAAGTTATGTTGACACAATGATATTTGACAATACAAAATAGATTCCTCGTGAGATTTGAGAAAATGGCATGAGAACCCTAGTCAAAGTTCCAAGAAATGTGCATGAAATTACCATTATACCCCATAATTTTTTGATCTGTAATATACCCCAAAAAAATGGAAGTAGCGGCATATTTGGAATTTCGAACAAAACTTTACAATACAAAATCCAGAGGGTTCCTGTAGTATTTATCAATTGTCAAGGGCTCCATGCTTTGTCCGAACTTAAAGGGTGTCACCCCTTTTGTAACTATGCCAAGGTAAACTCTCATTTCCAACCACACATCACCAGGTTCCACTCTAAGTGAAATGAGACCAAAACGTGCAGTTTTCCAATCAGTAATATTAATGTTCGTAATTATTCTAGGTCTTTAAGAAAAATGTTGACAACTGGGTTCGCTCATTCTCTCATGGAGAACCATAAACCTCCAAGGAATGTGCAATAGCACGCTGAGGAGAATTTGGTTTGTGTTGGTCTTTGACATGCACACATTTCTATTAGACATTTAGTACAAAATTCACCATACAAGCATGCATCTGTGTCCTCACATAAAGAAAAGGCACATGCACACACTCACATGTGAGGCGCGGGGGGGGGGGGGGGGGAGAGAGAAAGAGAGACCTCAGTGGCATCACGGCGAAGAGCTAGCATGCCTGCCTCCACACAAACAGCTTTCAGTTGTGCACCATTAAAATCGTCCGTGGAACGAGCCAGCTCTTCAAAATTAACATCTGGGTGAACATTCATTTTTCGGGAATGGATCTGCCATTCAATGCAAATAAATCAATAACTTTTGCCTAAAAGTCAATCCTCATTTAATGCATGAAGTTTGAATAGGCCTTTTGAAACGTAGACCTGCAAGATTCGAGCTCTGGCCTCTTCCGTGGGATGGGGAAACTCAATTTTACGATCTAGTCGACCAGATCGCATGAGAGCAGGGTCTAAAATATCAGCTCGATTTGTTGCTGCTATCACCTGCAATTTAAAAAATTACCAAAAAATTCAACTGGCAATCTCAAGATCACAAGGAGAACCGTTGATTGTAGGCAGTCATTAGCGGTTGCTAAAATTAACTTCAATCATCCAACAAACATATAAACTGTAAAAATGTAGGCACTTACCACAGATCAGCAGCCAATAACACTGTCAATTAAATGATTTAACAACGAAGTGTTCACCATAACCTCAGAACAACTACAGACAAATACATATTCAATTAAACGGGCCCAGAAAAATACCTTTATCCGGTCATCGCTACTAAATCCATCAAGCTGATTGAGTAATTCTAACATTGTCCGTTGGACCTCTCTATCCCCACTAACCTCACTGCAATAGAAGACAAGATTTTATATTACTTAGGTTGGTTAAGATGTAATCCCAATGGTACTTTTTCCGAAAGTAACACAGATCCAGTTAGTATGCCATACAAAAACTCAAATCATTATTAAAAAAGTGGCCAGAGCAGATTGAAATCAGGTAACCACACATGAAACAGAGATATTGCATACCTATCAAAACGCTTTGTGCCAATTGCATCAATTTCATCTATAAAAATGATACAAGGAGATTTTTCTTTTGCAAGCTGAAAAGCATCACGAACAAGTTTTGCTCCATCCCCAATGAACATCTGTATTCATGACAAGTTTGATTACCATATTAATTAAGCAAAAGCCAATCATTTTGACTAGAACTAAACAAATAAGTGACATTTTTAGTATTTTGCAGACTTTTTATTAACAACAGAAAACCGTCCCACCCACGCGCCATTTGAACTTGTGACTGTTAGTATGTTAGAGTAGTCTAGTATATTTGTTATAAGGGCTAATTTAGTCATTTACCATATTTTATGTTGCCCTACTATACAAGGTTCTCTATTATGTATGCTTGGTTTTATGTTCTTGAACAGGCTCAGTGTGCCTTAATAAACTTCTCTTTCTTGTTTCTTGGATCATATCTAACATGGTATCCGGAAAGGTTATGATCTCTAAATTCAAATAACAAATTATAGAATTCAGCGGGGAATTTTCTGGCAAAAACAGTGGCTGATGTCATCATCGGGATGATGACATCATCGTGATGGGATCATTATCATCTTGACCGAAAATTCATGGGCTTGTCAATGGAGTGTTGTTTTCAATTTCAAGCTCATTTGGTAGGTGTTTTTATTTTTCGAGTATTTTGGAGAAATACATCGAATTTTCGTGGGACTGTAAATTCGAGGGCTCTTTCAAATTTTTTTTGCTCTAATGCCGACTAGGTCTCTTTGATAACCTATTATGTGATTTGGTTTGGTTTCTTGCTCATCTGGGGCTCGGCTGGACTTGTTATTGCCCACCTGTTCTTCGGCTGTTCTGGTCTCTTCTTCCTACTGCTAATTTCTGGTGTTTACATGCTGGGTTGCTAGTTTCTTGGCTGATTTGTCCTTGGAAATTTGTTGGCTGCTGGTGTTGTGATCTACTTCACAGTGCTGCTGCTGATGTTGTATTCTTTCGGCTGGTACTTTGGATTCTGCTGATAGTTGTATTCTTTCGGCTGGTGTTTGGATTCTGTTGGATATATTGTGGGCTGCTTTGTTGGGTTTTTGGTTGTGGGTTTACTGGATAATAATAGGTGCTGGGTTTGGACTGATTTTTTGAAGGCTTTGTTGTGGGTTGTTTTGTTGGCCTTTTTTTGTGGGCTTACTGGAAAATAATAGGTGTTGGGCTTTTGGGCTCTTGTTCTTGTTTGGGTTATTTATTTTCTATTTGAGCCTTAATTTGGTGGGCCTTCACTTGGTGTTTGCTGAGCCTTCTCCTAGCTTTGGTGTGTCCTGCAGGGATTTGGAGGTTAGCTGGTTTGACTTGTTGGGTTGTTGGCTTGTTGATGGCCAGATGCTTATATTAGCATTTGGGCTCTTGCTTTCTTCCTGGCTTTAATTTCTTTGAATTTTGTTGGTTGCTAGCCCTAGTGTTAGTTCTTGTGTTTTGGATTTGGTTCAGAAGATTCGATTATCGTTTTCGGAAATTATGGCTGGTTCGTTCACTTCCGGTCATACAGGTTTATCTCGAACCGCATGGTTCTTTGACTCTGGTGCTACATATCACATAAACAGTGATTCTTCCTTATTTGCCTCTACCTTCTCTTCTCCCTCTATATTTGTGTTTGCAGACAATGGTACTCGAATGCTATTGGCCAAAGTTGGGTCTATTATTTTTCCGCAACTAACATTTCCCAATGTTTATTATATTCCACAGCTTACTTTAAATTTAATTTCATTTAGTCAATTATTTGACTCTGAATTTTTAGTTCACTTTTATTCTTCTGGTTGTGTTGTGTAGCATCCACGTTCCAAGAAGCTGATTGGAACAAGCAGTAAAAAAATAGGGTTGTATGTGTTAAATGAGTTTGCATGTTCCAAATATTGTTGTCTCTAATGTTGATTTATCTTCCTTTCATTTGAGTCCACAATTTTCTAATTTTTATTTGTAGCATTCTCGTCTTGATCACATTTCTCATTCTCGTTTGAAATTTTTAACCTCTATTGGTAGTTTGGGTAACTTAGAGTGTCATGACATTTCAAGTTGTTGTGGATGCAAGTGTAGCTAAATTTAGTGCATTACCTTTCAATAAAAGTCCTATTAGATCTCTTGCACCTTTTGATCTAGTTAATTCTGATGTATGGAGACCTATTCCTGTTCCCACAAAAGAAATGTCTAGATATTATGTCTCTTAATATCAAATACTATTGGATCTATCTAATGAAGAATCGTTATGAATTTTTCTATGTATTCACTGTTTTTCGTACTATGATATGCACTCAATATTCCGGTATTATTAAATGGTTTCGATGCAACCAAGGATGAGATATTCTTTTAATTCTTTTCGTGATTTGTTAAAATCAAATAGCACTGGTTGTCAATCTTCTTGTATCCACACACCTTAATAGAATGGTGTAACAGAATGCAAACACCAACATATTACGGAAACAGTACGCTCTCTTACTATCTGCAAATATCCCAAGTTATTTTTAGGAGAAAGCACTTCTTACTGTGGTTCATCTGATTAATTGCATTCCCACTCTCATCACCTCTGGAATATCTCCCTTTTTCATGTTGTAACCCACCTGATTATTTCTCCTTACATGTGGTGGGATGTATTTGTTTTGTTTTACTTCCTAGTGCCCTTCGTACTAAATTTTCTGCTCGTTCAGCTCTTTGTTTTACTTGGTTATAAAGAGAGTATCATTTTTATGATCCTATTGTACACAAACTCTATATCTCTCGTCATGTTGTTTTCATGAAACATATTCCCTTCTTTTCTATTCCCTGTAGTTCCTCATATTTAGATAAATCTTATCTTATTTATATTGACCAATTTCCTACTGATGTGGCACTTTTGCTGGTGATATGGTTGTCTCTAATTTGCCTTCTTTTGATTTGTCAATCACTCGTCCCCTATTGTACATACTTATACTCATTGGACTCAAGTTGTATCTTCTACAATTGTAGTGCCTCCCTTTTCTATTGTCACTCCACCAAGTTCTGACAATGTGGATCATGTACGTCATTATCCTCAGCGCCCTCGTAAATATCCAAATCGGTTTGGTTTCTCTAACTCTTGTTATTCTATTATTTTTGTACTTTTTTAGCTTCTATACACTCTTTCTGACCCTACTGCTTATAAGGAGGTTGTTCTTGATCCTCTTTAGAAACTGGCTATGGATGAGGAACTTTTTGATTTACATAAGACTTGTACATGGGAGTTGGTGTCATTACCATCTAGCAAATACACAATTGGTTGTAAATGGGTTTATAAAATTAACACCAAATCTAATGATTCTATGGAATGATACAAGGCTCGCTTGATAGCCAAGGAGTTTACTGAAGAGTATGGTATAGATTATGAATAAACATTTGCTTCTGTTGCTAAGATGACCACAATTCACACTGTGATTACAGTAGCTACTTTCCATCAATCGTCTCTCTCAGATGGATGTAAAAAATGTCTTTTTAAATGGAGATTTGACCGAATAAGTATTTATGGCTCCTCCTCTTGGATTACCTTATAGTCCGAGTTAGGTGTGCAAACTCCACAAGGCATAATACAGTCTTAAACAAGCTCCTAAAGCATGGTTTGTCAAGTTTTCTTCTATCATCTGTAATTTGGGTTTTCATGCCAGCGATCATGATCCGCCCTTTTTTTTGCGACCTGCTTCAGTAAGTTTTATTATTTTCTTACTTTATGTTGATAATATAATTATTACTAATTATGACACTACTAACATACAACTATTGAAAAATCAGTTGCAAGTTCATTTTGAAATTAAAGACTTGGGTCAGCTTCGGTATTTTTTGAGAATTAAAGTTACTTCTTCTCCCAAAAGTTATCTTCTATCTCAATCCAAGTATGCATCGGATGTTATTCAACAAGCTTGTTTATCAGATAATCGAAAAACTAAGACACCTTTAGAGCTTAATGTTCAATATTCTTCTGCTAATGACATTCTGTTGCCTAATCCTACCCTATGTTGTTGAGAGTCTAATATATCTTACTGTTACCCGCCTAAATATCTCTTATTATGTTCATATTGTGAGCCAATTTGTTGTCTCACCTACCATTGTTCACTAAGCTGCCGTTCTACGTATTCTTCAATATCTTCAAAGTACTCTGCATCAAAATCTTTTATTTCCATCTTCCTCTTCCATGGAACTTAGGGCTTACTCGGATGCTTATTGGGCTGGCGACGTAATGGATCGCAAGTCCACTACTGGTTTCTGTCTCTTTCTTGGTGATTCTCTTATATCTTAGAAAAGCAAGAAGCAAACGGTAATTGCTCGTTCTTCTACTGAAGCTGAGCACCGCGTTATGGCATCATCCTCATCTAAGTCTGTTTACGATGGTTATTTGCTCAACTTGACATCAGTTTATCTAATTCTATCCCCATGTATTGTGACAATACCAATGCTATTCAGATTACTCACAACTCAGTCTTTTATGAGCGTACTAAACATATTGAGATTGACCGTCACTTTGTGTGTTATCATTTTCAGTTGGGCACCATCTCTCTCCTTTCTTCCTTTTACCATGCAGTTAATAGATTTCTTTACCAAGTTTCACATCATAGCTCATTTTTAACTTCTTGGCAAACTCTTAATATTTTCTACTACCATATCATGAGTTTGAGGGGGGTGAAGTATGTTAGAGTAGTCTAATATATTTGTTATAAGGGGTCATTTAGTCATTTATAAATTATAATTCATGACAACTTATTTGGGCGTCTTGCCAGAAATCATACCTTAACTAAGACTGTTAGGAAATTGATTATAATTGGCTAATGTCATGAAGTCTTGATGTAAATTTCAGACTAATTATATGGTCAACAGGCTTCAAAAATCAAGTTCAAAGGACAGAGTTCAAGTTTCAAAGCCAAATCAAGATATCACTGATGCACCTTTAATGTTTACGACAAAGGTAATGACCTAAATACCTAAAAACACTTAATTTATTTGTAAACTTGGGCTAATTAAAATAATAGAATTGGAATTAGGACTATCCGTGAATGACTCTTGGGCTTTTTATCAAAAAGATTTTCTAAACCTTGAAATGTGTTTCAAAAACATAGAAAAAGTCATGTATCGGACCCTATTT